CAACATTACGAATGGTATTCCAGTTTACTCTTCCTACTTCATTTGATTATCTACCAAAAGATTATGAATCTGTTAGTCAACCATTATTTGAGAAGTCTTTAACTACTGAGAATATTTTAACGATGTATGAAACTATTTTAAAAAGAATGTTAGATAATTGTGTGAATGACTTTGAAATGGAAGATGTACACTCTGAAATTACCAAACAAATACCCATAGGTTGCAATCTTCCGCTGCCAAAAATCATAATATTGGAACCTGGTAATCCTCCCAATTGCAATGATAATGTTCATGCAGCATATAAAATGTATCGCAATGATTTACCCCATGGTTGTGATGAGAATCTATACATTGTATGCGACCAGGCAATTTTTAGGAGATTAATTTCTTATAAGAAAACACATAATGATGTTCGGCTTCTTTTGGGACAGTGGCATATGTCTAAAGATATGTGCTGTACTTTAATTACAATATTTTCTGGATATGGAATATATAACCTCGCGGCAACCCTTGGAGTACAATATTTATACAAGTTTGAGCATGTAATAGATTACCGAGCTATATGTCGTGTTTTAGAATTGATCTGGGTCGCAGTTGGGATTGCATTATGTCAGCATATTAAAAAAAAAACAAAACAATAAATGATATTTTAAGTAGAAATAATTACTTAATAAAGGTGTGGTATTTTTTCTTTCGTTGGACAGGATACTTTATAGGCCACAAAATTGGAATCAGAAGAGGGAATTACGAGATGCAGATGGCAAATTTGGCTGCATTTGCACCCCTCTTTCCTGCAGCTGGAAAGTTCAAGTATGCAAGTTCAGTGGTACACTTTTTGGCTCAGATTTGTGATGATTTATGGTTACAAAATTTATTACAGATAGTATGTTCAGTAAACCTCACAAATGAAGGACATTATTTTGCTTTCGATAAAGCACTTGAAACATATGGTGTAAAATTCATTAAGCAAAATATTACTGGTAATGTTACTAAATAGCAGACTAGGATGTCAAAAATCAAGGCAGCCCAGAGCGAGAGAGACCGACTATCGATACTTCTTGCAGAATATGTTGATGATGTTATAATGAATCAAAATATTCATGCAGTCAAGTCACGCAAAGATTCACTCTGATCACTGGTTGAAAAGCTATTATCCGCCTTTAACCATCCAAATCCTTCAGCACATTATCTATTCGAAGATATACCAGAAATTAGTGAAGAGGGTATTAAAAATATTCTCTCTCTCTATAAAACTGGCAAATCATGCTTTCAAGAAGTGCTTGCACAAGATGTGTATAAGACTGAGCCCCGAACTCCTGGACGTTATACATGAAACATAAATTATTATTCTTACGAGAATCTAAAAAAAAAAAAAGGCAGATTAGATAATCTTTTCAAGAACCGATTGTTCAACAAGATACTTCAATATTACAACAAACATTGACTAACCCTTTAAAGTGATCACATCACACTATTACAGAACTAGAGAAAGAAATACTTATACAATTATTCAAATTTGGTGATAATGTACCTGAAACTGAAATTCTAAAAGTATTAGCGGAACTTTAAGGTTTTTCTTCAGGCTGGACAGAAGAAAGAGTTAAAATATATTTAAAAAATAACCGGCACAAATATGTTCAAAAATAAATAGCATTAAATTATTATTATTATTTTTTTTTTTTTTTTAAGTGAGGCCTGGCCTCGGTCTTTATTGAATAATTTATGTTTTACATTTGTAGAATGAATTACATGAATTACTACAGGGACCTACAGCTAG